TAGGGCAGTCGTGGTTAAAGATCGGCTGAAGGGTCAGCTCGTTGAGATTTGTTGCAAGGGCAACTCAAATAGTTCTGCTGTAAGGGCAGCTGAAAATGGCAAGGGCCAATATTCAATGCACACAATGAGTGTGCTTCATACGTCGCTGCAAGGGCAGCCTATTCTTTCAGGCCGTGACGACAGTTAAGATCGGCAAGGGCCGACAAGAGGTGCAAGGGCACCGATGAGTCGTCTAGTCGAGATGAAAGGATTCTCTAGAGAGCTTGAAAACAGAAGGAGCGCAGGCTGTTATGAACTCAGCACTTGATTGCACAATTGAAGGCAACGACGTGCTGACATCTGAGTTTATCCCTTGACTGTTTCTCGGCTTAAAAAAAAAAAAAAGGGGAGACAAGGGCAAGGGTCGCAAAGATTCCGAGAGGAAACAAAAGCCAAGGGGCAAAGAAAAAGAGGCGAAAGCCCACATGTTTCCGTGGCCCACATGTTTCCGGGGCTCTGCCTCCATGGGCCGCAGAAGGAACAGAAGCAGCAGTGACAGCCGTCGCTCAAGACGCAGAGACAGGAGCCGAAGGACGTCTAGATCACGTAGCCCAAGTGGGCGCCGAGACAGGTTTCCAGAGACCCAGCCGAGGACCCCAAGTGTTGGGATTTCTAGCATGCGAGCTACGCAGCCAGGATTTCACTGGTGCCAAGTGCCGACAGCGGCCTTTGGCGTGGCGTCGGGCCCACAGGCCCAGGCATCCCTTTCCGCACAGAAGGGAGCTGAGGCAGCTTCTTCTTGGAAGTATTCCTCCCGGTGGCAAGAACAGTCCACCCCATGGAAGAGCCAGCAGTCTTCATGGGGCAAGGGTTGGGGGCAATCCAAGAATTACGGCTCCAGCAGCTCGTGGCAGGGCTCTGGTGGGAATCGGCGTGAGAAGTGGGACAAGCCTAAAGGCTGGAATCTCGGGTGGAGGCAATTGGCGACTTCATGCGGCATGTAGGGTAGCTGGAGCTGCTAGATGCCGTGAGGCCTACTGCATCAAGAGTTGCTATGCAAAGGTCTATGGAGTGGCTGTTGCCCTGCCATTCTAATTTTCTGTTTCCGGCCGACTGCTGCGAGTGATGAAACAGCAACCAGTGCACGAGGGTTTCACTGATGCATTGGACGTTCAGAGTTCTCATGGTCCAGTCCATGTCGGCATGTGCTGCTGAGGAATGCGCACAATCCGTTTAGCACTTCTAGAGCAAGCTCTGTTCCCGTGCTTCAGCAGTCAGTGGATGCATGTCACCCTGTCTGTGAATGCACACATACCGCTGCCTTTTGCTTTCTGCAGCATTGTGCAAACACACTGTATGCATTCTTAACCTACCCTGCTGCCTCGTGTATGGACGAATCTTCATCATCTTTGGAAGCAGCAAGCTCAGAGAGTGCTGAGTGGTGGCAGCGCGTGCCCCAAGCCCGTTTGCAAGTGGTCAGAATCTTGCCCCGAGACTTTCATTTGGAGTGCTTGTTCAGAAACATACATCAAGAGCCCAATCTGCACACCTACGTCCTTGAACCCGACCTCCTCAACATCCTCCTCAGCCAAACTGAAGGTTCGAGAATTTTGGTTCTTCTTCCCGTTCGGTCGTGGTACTACTTGACGTGTTCAGCCAGCTGGAGTAACACGTGCCTCAGGCATCTTCTTGCACGTCATGTCTAGAGATATTACAGATGAGGAGATTGCTGAACGATTCTGGAGAGTGCCAGTGTGGGAAATGAGCTTCACCCTCCTTCAGCACCTGAGACAGATTGCTTATCTTCGCGAGAGATTCGATGCTCTCGAGCGGTGTCACGACCGAATGCAACAACAGTATTCGCATCTCGTTGATCTTCATGCACGTGTTCTGAGTGAGTGCGAGCAGCTTTGGCAAACATGTCTGATACTTCAGTTTCACCTCGATAGGCTTCAGAGTGTTGTCGACCTCCTACAGAATCAAACCCGAGGTTTCCACGACGACATGACACATACCCTGTGGCTCCAGGGCCTCCGAGTGCACGTGACCCCCCCTGTCCCACCGAGACCCAGTAACGTGGTCCGTGTGCAGCAGATGAGGGACAATGCGCGCCGCTCCCGGCCTTACTGAATCTTCCCGCGGGGCAGAAGTGCAAAACATTTCCAGTGCTGTCTCTGTGATGCTCATGTGGCAGCAATCTGCGCGTGTATTGAAGCACCATGTTATGTCATGTCACGTATGCCACCTCAAGTTCTTGTTTTCTTCTGTGGGCCCGAGTTTGGGATTTTGTACAACAACATCCTGCCAAGATGGACTTGTGTCTTGCAGAGCGGCAAGCCGAGGCTTTTTCTGCTGAGTACGAGGACATTAACTTGCCCCCCTGCACCTCTTTTCCCCATACCGCGGTTTTTCAGACTCCAAATGCCACGCTGATTCATACATCAGCATCAGCTGGGGAATCAGTGCCAGTTGGTTGGTGTGACAGACAAGAAAGCGAGCCCACAGAGGCATGCTTTGGCATCTTTGATGAGCCAATCCAGAGTGCCGAAGTGGCATCTCTGGGTGAAGAGGCCAAAGAATCGCAGGTGTCTTGAGCTCCTCACCGGGGGCTAACGTTTCAGCAAAGTGATCAAGTGTAAAAAGAAAGATGGACCTTTCGAGGAGGCTGTTGTAGGCATGTGATTGAAGAACATGTAGATGTGGAAACAGCTGCTCGAAGCCTCCCCGTCCACCAGTTTTGCCAAAAACTGCAAGAATTGGACGAAGAGGAGAAGATGTTGTCCCTTCGTGACATGTTTGGCTCGGAATCACCACACACAATCCAGAAGCGTGCATCGACCTTGTTGAGGCTGTTTCGTTGGCTTCAAAGACAGGCAGATGCGCAAGGGACCTCTGTGGAGGAACCCCTTCTCCCATCAGAGGAGGCGGTGTACAAGTTCTGCAGGGAGATATCCCACAGCAAAAAGGGCAAGCGGGCACCTCAGAGCATGGTACAAGCGTTGAAGTTTGTGAAATTTCTGCTTTCCATTCCAGATGTGGAGAATTCCATCTCCCCCAGGGTCCGAGGCTTGGCAGACCGAGTGGCAGGCGAGCACGAGCCCACACACCAAGCCCGGGACCTAACAGTGCTTCAAGTTAAATTTCCGGCAGAGTGGGTTGGGAACACCGAGCTCCACGTTGTTGAGTGATTTGCAGCAGGAGTGTTCCTGTGTCAGATCTTCAGCAGGAACCGTTGGTCAGACATCAGGCACGTGCGATTCTTGGAGTTCGACTTTCTGGAAATTGGACCCGAGATTTGTGGTTTTCTGGAAGGAATCCTTTCAAGGCAGGGCTAGAGAGACGAAACAGTCCAACAAGAAGAAGAAACTCTCGTTCTTCATGCCCCTCGTGGCTCCAGTTCGGGGGTCCAACCTAAGGTGGTGTGGGCAAAAGAATGGCAGAAGGTGGCTGCCGAAGCAGGGATAGTGCTCTCGAAGACCCCTGTAGGCCCTTTACTACCGGCCACCGCCCCAGATGGCGACTGGCTGCAGAGTTCCATGGACTCCGCCAAGGCTTCCAACGAGCTGACGGGACTGCTAAGGGACCGCGACCCCTCAACAGCGAGGGTTGCCACACAGTCCTTGAAACACAATGCTGTTGGGAGGTTGAGCAAATACGGCATTGTGGGCGAGACACAGACACTCTTGTCACATTATTCGACTGGAGCTTTGAGTACATTAGCCTACTCGAGAGATGCCCTTAGTGGCCCCCTCCGGCAGCCGGAGGAAATGCTGAAGCAGGTACGGGAAGGCTCGTTTTGCCCGGACGCTATTCGAAGTGGATACTTTGCCCGAGCCCAAGGATGAGAGGCAGGTGCATCTGTTGACCTCGGGTCCTGACTTCCGATCAGCAAGGTAGGCAGCTTGGATGGGCTGCCCGAGAATTCCGAAAGCACGCATGAGCTTTTGCCAATTTGCCAGCTCTAGTGGAAGGTTTCAGGACAATCTCCTGGGGGTTGGACTGCTTTGCCCCCTGCAAGGGAAGGTCTTTGAGTCACCAAGTGCCATGCCCGTCTTGGAAGCATCCGCACCGTTGATAGCGGAAGGAGAAGAATTAACCCTAGAAAGAAAGTGAGGAACTAGACAAGCTGGCTACGGTGACCTGTGGGCTTTGCGAAACAGTGCTCGATAAGAATGACACACAAGATGCAGATGACAACGGGGAGGCAGAGTTCTCGCCTACCACATCAGCAGACGGGTCCTCCGAGGAAACCTCTGATGGAGCCTCGTCGGAAGAAAAGGAGGAACCAGCTGCGGCCCTGAGTCTGCCGAAGGGTTGGAGAGCGATCCGAAACAAGAAGTGTACCATGCTACATCTGTACAAAGTGGGTCATACGACGCTGAAATGTGGCAAGTGGATCAGCGTTAGTTTTGTAGAAATGGAAAAGCCCTCGCAGCGAAGTGGCTACAGTGCAGCCGTTGTTTTCAGGAGTTAAGAGCGGGGTGACATTGTTGTTGGCCGCTTTGTGTGTATGTGCAGCACAATCCCTTTGTACCAGCTCTCTCTTTTGCAATTTGCAGTTTTGGCCCCACGCCCTAAACATGGCAAACGCAGCGGATAGTCAGCCTTTCTTCGAGCAACATGCTCGCAAGGTCGGGATGGAGCAGCAACTCTTGGAAAGATTCATAACCGGAGGGGTCAGGACGGTGTCCATGGCAGCCTACCGCCACTCAACCGGGTCAACCTCTCACAGACAAGGAGGTCTCCACTCTATGCACGAGTCTGGGGCAGGACAACCCCACTCGTGCGCAATTGACGGTCGTCAAGAGGAGTCTGGCAAATTTGGAGGCCACCGTGGGACAGCAGCCGGACTCAGTTCTACGTAAGCTGCCAGGAGCTGAGAGAGCCCAGCGCCTGGACTTGCAGGCTCAAAGGAATCGGCGCAAGGCAAGCCAGCCAAGGAACTTGTGCTGGACGCTTCGGGGGACGGCCTCTCGGTTCAGGATAAATCCCCTAAAGTGGCGGCCCAGTTGGGGTCAGACATGGCGACTTACAGAGCGTTGCAAAGACGGGGTCTGGCCTACGACCTCGTTGGCGTGTTGAATCCCAAGGCGCACGAGAAACGGCTTCAGAAGGACTTTGATACCTTGCAGACCCCAGCGCCCCCAGGCTTCAACCGTCCGACGCTGCAGCAGGTCCTGCGAGCAGATCGGGCCTTGTGGAGGGAGCTTGGCAGCAAACAGCCGACCCTGAAAAGGGCAGCGGCGAAGGTGCCGCTCGCGGACGCCCGGTGCTTAGATCAAGTCTTCCTGGAAGCCACAAACACGGTTGCAGTCAATTTTCACTTCATGCCGACACCTCGTGCGGAAGGGTTCACAGATAAAGGAGGCAAAGGCGCGGGCAAGGGCCCCCAACCGTTGGGGCGATGGAAAAGGTATGGGCAATGAAAATATCAGAGGACAGACAAACCAGAGAGGCGAATCAGGGGTCAAGGGAGCCCGCCTCCCCACGAAGGGCAAATTTGACAGTGGCAAGGGCGGCTTTCCGAACCAGTGTGTTGCAAGGAGGCAAGGGGGAAACCCCCATGCCGGCCGTCTTGCGAGGTGGCGTGCCGAACGACGAGCACGGAGATCCTCTTTGTTTTGGCTTCAACCTAGGACAGTGCAAGGATGCCCCATTGGGGGGCAGATGCGCACGTGGCAGACATGTACGCTGTCACCCAGGTTGCTTTCGGAAGCATCCCTTTTCTGAGCACAAGCACTCAGGCCAGGCAGCCTGAAAGAACGCCCCGTTGCAAGGGACGTTGACAGCGCCTCCGCGCTGGACCAGGCGTCCCGCGCTGCTCTGACCGCGCGTCGCGCACAAGCGTGCGCGTAGAGAGCGGAAACAGCCAATTTTGTGAACAGGACAATTTTCCCGCTTCTTTGGCGGACAGGCCCAAAGAGAGCTGCAAGGAGTCGCATCCTGCTGCTGTTGCAAAAGGCCAAGAGAATTAGCCCCCGCTCCTACGGGTGACTGAGCCAATCCCACAGTTTTCCAAGTCTTCCGCTGAGGCTTCCGTATGTTCACCTAAGGCGAGTCATCCTGAACAGGTCTGGACAGGCGCAATGTACTGCGCCCCAGACCATACATGAGTGTTGGGTTTTGGAGTTTTTCGCAGGGTCAGCCGGGATTACCTCGGCGGCTGCTTCAGCCGGCCTCAGGCGGTCGGTCGGAGTGGACAAAGTCCGCAGGCCAAGCCTCAAGGGCAAGATATTACAGCTGGTCTTGCTCCTGCTGTCGCACAGAGGTCTGCTGTGGAAATGGCTGGGTTCCCCAGGACTGGCCGCCGTATGGCTGGCGCCGCCCTGCGGCACATCCAGCAGGGCCAAGGAAATCTAGCTTCCGTGGGAGGACGAGCCGCATCCTTTGAGGTCAGTGGAGTACCCGGAAGGGCTTCCGGGCCCGAAAGGGTGGCAAAGGCCAACGAGCTTTGCTGGCTCACGGCCCGAAGCTGGGACTTTTGCTGCGAATGCAGCATCGTGGCAATCATAGAAAACCCCTATCGCAGTCTCCTCTGGCGTTGCATCGCCGTTGAACACATCCTGAGGAGTGAACAGGCGATTGTGGTCCAGTGCGAGTTTTGCATATGGGAGGCTCGAAATGAAAGCTGACAGCCTTGCTGTGCAACAACGACCTCATCACAGGCCTGGCTGTCACGTGTGTTGGATCCCACGAGCACCTACCCTGGGAAGTGCACGAGGGAGTTCTCGCAACAAACTTGAGACCGCGTACCCGCAACAGTTTTGTAAGCACTTCGTTTCCCTGCTGTTGCAGCATCTGACACAGAAGGGTTGTCGGGATGGCCTTAATCTATTGGAGGGAGATCCCGCAAACTCCTCAGGAGCCAGGGTGGTAACGACACAGGCAAAGACCAAAAGGGCTGCATCCTTTCAGGTCATCCCCGGAATTTGCCGACGATGCATCGCTGTGCATGGAACACAAATGAACAAGCATGGCATCGATGGATTGTCCTGTATCTTTGGCCGGGAAATGTTTTCACACATTTGAAACATTTTTGTTTGGAAAATAAGGTTATCGTGCTGCAAGTACAGACCTTTATTTTCCGGAGAAAAATTTTCGAATTCTCCGAATGAGAAAGTTTTTCGGCTCAGACGAAGAGAGGCCACAGCCCTCTCAGTCACGACCCTCGTGGAGATGGTCGGGGAAAATTTTCTGCCCACCCACCCACTCCAATAGTGCCTTACATTTGGCAGTTAGGATGTGGTAACCAATGTGCCGGTTGTGGATATCGTACCTTGTAGAGTGGCGACCACAGGAACAGTTGACGACGGCGATTTTGCAACTATGTCAGGAAATGACTCTGTGTGCACAGGATCAGCGCGAGCCTTACTTTGTGTGGCTCGAGAATTGCTTTTCTCACCACTTTGCCTTTTTCAGCACTCTTCATGGCGCGGTCGTTGACACGAGCTCAGCTAGACGAATTTCGAGTGTGGCTTCACGCTTTGAACATGGATTCCCTCGTGAAGGTGGCTGAGGTATTGGACGATCTCATGGCGGACCGTGAGATGCAGCAAAGAGAAGCTGCTGCAGCTCTTCAGCCTCAGTGGCAGTTTGTGAACCCTGAACCTGCCTTGGAGCAACCGGATGAAGCCGCTTCGTCAAGCTCTCAGCGACAGCCAGAAACTTCTTGACCTGTCGTTATGAACCTGATGAATATTCTGTTCAGGCCGTCACACCTAGGTCGGACCTGTGAGGGGAAGTGAGTTAGCCGCGGTTCGTTTCTCACACACCTGCAGAGGGGAGATTTCGTTTCTCACACACCTGCAGAGGACAGATCCCGGATGGAAGCAGACATGGCAAATCCCCTTCCTTGGAAAAGATACCTGTGCATAAGCTTCAGTCTTGTTAGCGTGAGGGTGCACGTCATTGCAGTCTGTGCATGTGAATGCATCGCTGTGCATGGAACACAAATGAACAAGCATGGCATCGATGGATTGTCCTGTATCTTTGGCCGGGAAATGTTTTCACACATTTGAAACATTTTTGTTTGGAAAATAAAAGACCGTGTCCACGTCGGCGAGTTAGCGATTGAGGGAGTGGCCGGACTCGAGAATGTGAGCGATCTCCTCACTAAGAATTTGAACCGTATCCAAACAGCAAAGCATATGGCGACCCTTGGATTGGAAGATGTTACAAACATCGACTTCCGAGCGGTTCCGGCCGTACGATCTTGCCTCTTGCTGTCTGGAGTTCTGGATTCTGTTCTCGGGCCGGATAACCTCGAGCGGGAAGCTTTCTGCCGATTGGCTGAACTCGAGACTGAATACTCGACTCTGCTTATAGAATTCTGCACGAGTTCGCGTTCGAATCTGTACTTGCGGGGAAGTGTGCACCAAGTATTCGTCCTGCCAATTACTCAAGAGGTTGATGGTACCTCGGATGACACCGTGGAGCGGGTCATGTCCGCAATGAACGTTGCGAGAGAATGGGGGATGAAGGTTGTTTTCTGGAGCAGCGCTCCATGTACCGGAGGAAGCCTGTACCAGCGGCGAAATGAGGCTCGGCCGGGCTATCAGGACCATCTGCAAGCTTTGTTCACGGTGCACCGCAAGCTCTGGCGGAGCTTCTTGATAATGGTGAACCACCCGCAAGTTGGGGTGTGGGTCATAGAATGGCCTCAGAGGTGTGCCTACTGATGGTGGGCAAGCGCCCGCTGGTTTGCAAAGCAACGAACCCATTACACGGGCGTAGTGCACGGCTGTGTTTCAGGCTTGGTAGGCAGAGATGGACTGCCAATCCGGAAGATTTGGAAACTGATGTCGAATGACGAACAGTTTGTGCGAACAATGTCCGAAACATTTGCATGTACCTGCAAGGGAGATCATTCACGAAACTTTGATCTCAAAGCAACGCAGCAGTATCCGCCAGCTTTCGCAGACGTCGCCCTGGAAAGCCTGCGAGCGCGGTAATTCATGCCTACCCGCCCGTCCTGGCTGATCCGTTCACTCGGCCCAGCTAGGCTTCTTTGCGAGAGCTCGTCGACCTTCAGCGTTTAAAGTGCAGCGGTCTAGGACTGAGGAATGCGCCGGATGCGCGCCCCGGCGAGGAGCTTAGTTGGCTGCGGGGAGCTTAGCTGACGTGACCAACAGTGAAACTCTTGGTCATGAGGGGGAGTTGATATGAATAATAAATTCTGGCTCAAGATCTCGGCTCAACCCCGGTGGGGTGCACAGGTAGCAGAGCGGTAGCTGTGTGAACCAGCCTCGAGTCCCCTAACTGTTTTGGGTACCAGGCCTGCTTTTTCACAGCCTTCATTTGAGCCATGCCCAGAGCACCTGTGCAGTCGAGATCCTCACTGCCAGCAAGTGATGGGTTGGAGTCATCTCACCCAACTTGCTCTGCAGAGAGCCAGAAAGAAGGCACGGCCCGACTGGAGGGCGAAGCAGCCCGGCTTGGGGAACTCTTCCCTTATGCGAGTCCTCTTACAGCCGGCTGTGGAGTTTCTCCAGCCTTGGAAGACCAGGTAAGATGCTCGAGCAGCCTGGCAAATCCAGAGCGAACTTGGGCCCATAGAGCCAATTGTGGTCCCAGCCAATGCAGGACTTTCCACCAAGCACTCTGCTTTCGCTGGCATCACAAGGGCCGGAAAGAGTGGCTGCTCCTCTCCGAGGACAGCAGCGTGTATTTTGTTCGCACCAGCAAATCCGGCAAAACAGTCCGAGCCGGACCCTGTGGGCAATGGAGATGCATGGAAGACCCAGCAGAGCTCCACGGGGGAACGGGAGGCGACCCGCCCGTGCAGTGGCTTCGCCTTTTGAACTTTAATTGCACTGGCTGTGGTAACATTCCAACCCATAACCTCAACTTCTTGCCCGGTCCTGGGAAAGGCAACCAGCGATCTTGCATGGAGAGGATGGAAGACGCATCGAGCTCTACTGTGCCCTTTGTCTAGAAAGCTTCCTAGCGTGCACGTGGAGCTGGCCGAGTTTCGACCAAGCAGTTAGGAGACCGGTGTTTCTGGACTACGCTTCCCTTGCTAACTTGCGTCAGTTAGGTCACCAAGGTACGGAGCCCGTAGAACCTTGCTGGCGCCGCTGTCTTCTGCAGCCAGCGCACATGGCTGGACCTTCCTTGAGGAAGGGTGTTCTCAGGATCTAGACTCCCCAGAAGAAGCAGGCAACAGTGATTGGCTGGTGTGTGGCTTTGAAGACTTGGAAGACGTCCCCTGGGAGGTCTGACCTAATCCGGCCCCAACCCACCCAAATTGCAGGAGCTATGCCCTGCCAGAATCAAGGGTGAGATGCTCACCCTCCGGAATCCCTTTGTCACGGGTGAAGTTTCTCCCCGTCCAATCAGCGACGGTCCTGTGAGTCCGTTCCCAAACTGAGAGTGCCATAGGGCACCACGGAGAATCTTGCATAGAATTGGATCATTTAATGATCGC